TTATCTGTGCTCAGTTTTCTGTGCCCAGGGCATCACTGCCCTGCATTTACAGAGCTTTTATCTGTGCCCAGGGCATCACTGCCCTGCACCTCCAGGGCTTTGTCTGTGCCCAGGGCATCGCTGCCCGCATTCCCGAGGGGTGCCTGCGCCCCGCCGCTCCCCGCCGCGTCCCTCCGGGTGGTGCTGCTGCTCTCGCAGCGGCGCGCAGGGGCCGGGCAGCTGGTCCGCCTGAAAGGAGCTTTTTTTGCCGGGTTCTTTCCAGGCGTGCTGCAGCGCTGGCATTGCCAGGCCCGCGGGGCTGCTGCCATCCTCCCGGGCAGCCTGCACGGCCCTGGCCCCAATGGGGTGAGTGATGGAGTCGGGGTTCACCCGCTCCGGGACACCAGCAGAGCTCAGACAGAGTCGCTCCGAGCGGAGGAGCCTCCAGGCAGAGGTTTCACTGCAAGTGAGACCTCAGCACAGACCTGGCCACCCCCAGCAGCACTGCAAGCACTCCCCAAATTCACAGACCTCCAGGGATTTGTTTGTGCGGGTCCCTGCTGACCCCTGTGCAGCAGAGTGGAGGCTCCACGCGTGCCTTGGCATTTTCTCCTGCCAGTATTAGCTTATTTTAATGCCCTTCACTGTAAGATGCCACTTTAAACCCAAATCAGATCACCTGAGAGCCCCTCCTCGGTACCCAGGGCCGCTCAAGGGAACACACATGCCAGTAGCCCAGGGGTGACCAAGCCCCAGTCACCTCCAGCCACGTCCACCAGCACCGGGCTGAAGCCACCTCGAGGCACGGAGCTGTGTCCCAGCCTGGCCATGGGAGCCCTCGCTGACCCCTCCGTGGGTCCAGCAGCCTGCCCATCAGCACCAGCTGCTCACACTGCCGTAATCTCCATCAATTACTGCCATCATCTCCACAAATTACTGCCATAATCCCCGTGAACCATTTCCCCACGGATCCCCCATCCACATCCCTACTTACCCCCCCATGGGTGCGTGGCAGGAGCTTTGCCTTAGGTGCAGCAGGGCTGAGACAGCAGCAGATTCCCTGCCCCTGCTCCCCGTGCCCCCGTGCCTGGCACCAGAGGAGGGCAGAGGGCAGCTCCTGGCTGATCCCGGACCAGCTAATCAATATCCCCACCAGCTCCCTCTGCCCCCTTCCCCAGCCCGGGATGGCAACGCGGTGCCAGGGGATGCAGAGAGCAGCCCCGCTCCCCTGCGAGCCCCAGGACCTCGGGGGAGGGGAGGGAGGAAGGGGATCCCAGGGACCGCGCCGTGGTTCTCGCATTGTCTGAGCTCATTCTCCACGTCGCACAAGGCAAACCCGCAGTCAGATGCTGCCACGGCTCGCGTTCTTCCTCAGCAGCCCGCCTTGCAAAAGCTCCATCCACACAAACATGCATGCTGAAGCCCTTACCTTCGACTTGTCACTCCCTCATCACTGCGGGAAAGACTCTACTGGGTTTTCTCAGATTTAAAATACTATAAGAACAACTACAAAATTCCTCGGATGCTCCAGAGAAAAGTTACACACACGTTTCTGTCAAAAAAAAAAAAAAAATGAAAAATATATTCATGGCGAGTTCATGGAGAAGTCTGGTGCGTTTGGATTTTTTGGTCACTGTTTTTTTTTTTTTTAAAGCAGGTTTCTAACGGGGTCCCAGGCTTTGCACAGAGAAACGAACCCTTCTGCGATGTGCAGGATCTCAGCTCGTAAAGATCGCTGGGGCTAGCTCCTACTCCATCAGCCCATGCTGCTCCCTGCGCATGCAAAGCAGAAAGTATGTGATCATATCAGAGCAATTTGCACATTCATAAATCCTGGTCTCAATCCGTAGGCTCCGTCCCCATCCACCGGGTAGGGGCTTTTTATTATTATTATTACCAGAGTATCCAGCTTTGTAAAGGCATCCAGTGCAAACTCCTGCATGAGGGAATTCCACCCCACTAGTACCACCTCCTAAGACAATATCCAGCCAAAATATTGTGACTGTTGCAAAACCCGGACTGGAGCTCCACAAAGGACCTTCCAGCCTCGCATCCAGAGCCAACAGGGTCTCAGTAAATTACTGCAGAGTGACACACCATCGAGCTGGCTTTGTAGTCTTTTTTTTATTTATGACAGTTCATTCTGAGTTATTACTAACATTTTAGTGGTAAGTGGCATATGAAGTCATCAGCTGTCACAACTGCATCTGTTAATAAACATGTCAGATATTAAAAGCAGCTTATTATCCTCTAGAGGGGGAAGGCATGAAGGCAAAGAGCTCAGAGCCTGGTTGTTTTTTCCACTGCTGGCTGTGCAGCAGGAGGAAACACTCCTGCTCAGGAGAGCAGCATGGCTGTGGGGGCACGGCCTGGCATCCTGCCCTCCAGCACACCTGAGCAGCCCGGGAGCTCTCCCCTGGGCTGTCAGCTCCCTGTCCCTCCTCCCCCTGCACTCCAGGCTGGACACGTGGCAGAGCAGGGGAACGGGGGACATCAGTGCCCAAACACCTTCCCTGAGCCCCACCATGCCTGATGGGGCGAGCAGATCCTGCACCAGGGCTCAGGCACTGCCAGGTGTTCCCAGGAGCCTGCTGGACCCTGGCCATGCTCCTCCACAAGCCAAACAGAGGAGTTGGTGGCCACCAGCAGCCACGAGTGACCCTCGTCCCTGGTTCTTGCAGGGCTGATGTGATGCTCAGAGCCCTGGTGCCCTGCAGAGTTGTCCCTGGGGCATGTGACAAGCTGCCAGGCAGCCCCTTGGCATGACCCTGGCAGGCTCCTGGGAGACTCCCCAGGCTGGCAGGGCTCTGAGCTGGAAGCCAGAGGCTCAGACAATGTGATGAGGCTGTGGTGGCTCCTGAATCCCTCCTGGGTCCCCTGCTGGGGCCAGGGCAGTTCCCCTTCAACTCTGCTGGCCACGAGCCCCCACTGAAGGGAGGTCCCTGAGTGCCCCTGGCAGCTGCTGGCATCAGCCCTGGATGCTCACTGGGACTCAGGATGGACCCCACAGCCCTGAGGAAGAGCAGGGCGAGGGTATGGACACCTGTCCTGGGGTGACGTTATGGGGTTTGTATCTCCAATTGTGTGTTCTGTTTATGTTTGATATTCTGTTCTGTGCTTTCAGACCTGACTCTGAAAGTGAAGGTTTGTTGTGCCTTGTTATCAGCTGGCTCACCTCCCCCATGGTCTGTTGTCTAGAAAAGGCTGGTGCTTGCTTGCTTGCTTGCTTTGCTTGTTTCTGCTTTTGCCTTTGCTTCCTAGTTAGTTTAGCTAAGCAGTCCAATTCTTTCCCTGGACTCTTTCCTTTCCCTTTCCTGAATATCATTCCATCCTGCTCCGGACTGGGACCTGGGAAACACCGAGGAACACCCAGAGCCTGCGCTCTGTGATCTGCAGCAGCCACCCCAGTGTCCAGAGCAATCCCCAGCACCCACTCCCAGGAGAGACTTTCTTGATTTGTTCATCTCTTCAGAGTGGTAAAAGGGTTTTGTTGTCATCTGGTGTTGTTAATTTTTTTGGTGCTGGGGAGTGCTTTGTTTGTTAAATAAACAGGTTCTTTTCCACCTCTCTCCAAGAAATTTTTTTCCTGAACCAGTTGGGTGGGGAGGGGCCGTGGGGGTTTGTTTTCTGGGGGCTCCTTCCAGAGGGTTTTCCCCAAATTTGCCCTAAACTAGGACAACACAGAACATGGCACCAAGCAGCCCCCAGACACAGAGATCCAGAGAGCCTCATGAATTCCTCACACAGCACTTGTGTGGGGGCAGCTGTGAACACAGAGGTGCAAAATAACCCAAACACAGGCAAGAGGGAAAACTCACCCTTCCTGCAGCTTTTCCTTTGTGCTGGGTGTGTTAGTGCTCATGCCCAAGGAAGTTTTATTAATCCTGAACTTTCCTGGTTAAATGTCCCTCGTTGCCTATTTGTAAGTGATGTCACTGAGATCTCTGCTATCTCACGGGAGTGTGGTGGATGTGTGCTGCTTGTTGGCAGATGCTGAGCAGTCACTGCTGCAAGTCTCCGTATCTAAGACATTTTTCTATTTATATTTAGAGCTTTCTTTTACTTTCTATTCTAGGAAATTCTCAAGTGCCATCAAACGATGTCAGGGACAGTGCTACTCCATTGATTGTATGACTAAAAAATCTGGTGAACCCAAGATGTGTATTTCATGCACATTGAACAGCCAAACCTCCTTTCTGATACCGGCGTGGTGCAGCCTCTGCTGACAGCTGTAGATCAAGTTTCCAGCTGAGCAATAAACCCCAAAGTCAGAGCTCTGTACTGGCAATGCTGCCAGGCCCAGATGCAGCAGCAGGGCCACCAGCACAGCAGTAACCAGCCAACAGAGCAGCGGGTCAGGCTGAAGGCAAAGGGATGTTCTCACATGGGGCCAGAGGTGTCACTGCAGAGGATGGAAAATCACACTAAAACCTGCCTTAACACCCTGCACAACCAACCCAGCACAAGCTCTGCACAGCTTCCCCTCTGACAGAAACTCATTTACAGGCTTGGTTTTCTTTAGCTAATAGCTCTTGAGGCTGATCCTCTATTAATCTCCAACAGGTTGTTTCTCTCCTGTACAAAAGGATATGAAATTTGCTGTTTTAGCAGGATAAGATGCTAAGCTGCTCCAGATGGAAAGCAGAGGGTTCCATGGCACCCACAGTGGGTTCCCCGGGCTCCTCTGGCTGGGACATGGGCACAGTGGCTCTGCACAAAGATGAGGGGACAGCCCCACTCTGCTTCTGCACAGGAAGTGCCAGTTCCCCCATCCCCTGGCCCACTCTTAAAGTACGTGCTTCTCCTCTACATCAAACCTGCAATATTTTGGTACAGTTTCATCCCTTCACAGTTCTGCTTTGCAAAACCCTCTGCCTCTCCTGGAGGTGTCTCCATGGAAGGCTGACCCTGCCCAGGGACTGCAGGGACACCCAGGAGCCATGTCCCTCTCCTGGTGCAGCTGAGGACAGGGGGCTGTGGATGTGCCCAGGTGTGCACCAGGCAGATCCACGCTGAGCATCACAGTTTCTCTCAGACCCACATTGACCCTACCAGCGCCTACAAATTCCCAGCTGGCACAAAAGGTGCATTACTCATCCCTGGTGCCTCATCAGCCTTTGATAATAAGCAAAAAGCAGGAAAGACACCGACAGAGAAAGCGAGTATGTCCTGAAGTGTGTCACAGACTGGACATGAGGTGTTTTCTGGCTGCTGCTCTCAGGGTCTCTGCTGCAGGGTGACTGATAGCTCAGCAATTGCCTGTAACAACACCTGAGCATCAGCATCCCGAGTGCCAGCAGCAGTCCTGCCGTGCTGCTCTGACTGCGAGGCAGCCCCGGCGCTCCCACCCAGCCTGGCTCGGGCACGGGGATCGCGCTGCCCTGGAGGTGTGCGAGCCAGGGGATGTGGAGCTGAACTCCTGCTGGCATCACCGGCCATGCCCCTGCTCCCCAGGCTCCCACCCAGCCCGTGCTGCCAGCCTGGCCCCTGCTGGGAGCCTCTCCAGCTGGGACTGTCCCCAGCTCCTCAGCCCAGCCTGCTGAGAGCCTCAGCTGCAGAGCCGTGCCAGCTCCGTGGTGTGAAACCTCTGTAGGTGGCAGGACAGCAGGACCCTGAGCCCCGGGGCTGGGCTGGGCTGGGCTGGGCTGGGCTGGGGGAGATGCCCATCCCTGCCCAGATGTGGGGCTGGCAGCAGCAGTGGTGCCCACCCCTGCCCAGATGTGGGGCTGGCAGCAGTGGTGCCCGTCCCTGCCCAGATGTGGGGCTGGCAGCAGTGGTGCCCGTCCCTGCCCAGATGTGGGGCTGGCAGCAGTGGTTCCTGCCTGCACCCCTGCCCCGTGGCTGCTCGGGAGGGCTCCAGCAGCACCGAGCTGCTCTGGGCTTGCCATGCCCAGGGCAGGGGCAGCCCTGTGCCCCCCAGCAGCTCTGCCTTGCTGTTCAGAGCCCTCTCCAGGGCCTGCCATGTCTCCTGGCCTGGATGCTTCCCCTGTCCCCAAGGAGCAGCGTTCTGTGCATGTTGGGAAATGCTCTTTTCCCATTTGCTCCGAAGGCCCTTTCCCCTGTTGTTTGAGGAATGCTGTTTGAATTAGCTGCACGGATTGCAAACAGACCCCGTTGTTTTCCTTTCCCAATGCAGGGAGGCTTCTGTTCTCTCTGGCCTGCTGGATTAACCAGGGGCCTTGCACACTGACCTCTCTGCAGCTCAGGGAAGCTAATTTAATCCCAATATTGTTACAGATCACAGCAGGACGGATGTCACAGATTCCTTGAGGCAAACCAGCATGGAGTGCTGGCAGGGACAGCAGCACGCTGTGTTTGTACAGGCAGGAGCTGCTGCAATTTTTCTGTTAAATTCCCTCTGCAAAACTCATGCAGCTGGGGAGGACAGCAGCAGTAGGAACAGGGGGATCCCCTGAGCACAGAGGTGTGAGGAGATGCTGTGCCTGCATCCTCAGTGCCCCTGGCGTGCCAGGGGGTGGAGGGTGGCTCTGAATCCCAGCAGAAGAGAGGGAGATGCAGACTCCCATTTCCTCGCTATTTCTTTCTCATTATTATTCTTTTCCCCTTGGTTCCTTCTCCC